TTTGCCACCACAGAAAGGGCTGCTATAAATATTTTTGTACATGTGGGTCCTTTCCCCATTTTTTTTAGGCAATTGGAGTTAAGTGACTTGCTCAGGGTCACACAGCTAGCAAGTGTCAAGTGTTTTATCTGAGACTGGATTTGAACTCAGGTCCTCCTGACTTCCGGGCCAGTGCTCTATCCACTGCGTCACCTAACTGCCCCCTCCTTTTCTCATTTTTATGATCTCTTTGGGATACAGCCCTAGAAGTGTTATTGCTGAGTCAAAGGGTATTGCACATTTTTATAACCCTTTGAGCATAGTTCTAAATTGCTCTCCAGAATGGTTGAATCATTTCACAACTCCCCCAACAGTGCATTAGTGTTCCAATTTTCCCACATCTTCTCCAGCATTTATCATTTTCTTGTTTTGTTGTGTTGGTCAATTTCATAGGTGTGATGTGGTACCTTAGAGTTGTTTCAATTTGCGTTTCTCTAATCAATAATGATTCACAACATTTTTTCATGTGACTATAGATAGCTTTAATTTCTTCATCTGAAAACTGCTTGTTCATATCCTTTGACCCTTTATCAGTTGGGGAATGACATGTATTCTTAGTTCTCTATATATTTTAGACATGAGGCCCTTATCAGAGACACTGGTTGTAAAAATTCTTTCTGGAAGCAGAATTTTGCAACCAGCTTAAGAATCTTCTAAATTAAAAGTTTCATTTGATTTTGAACCCATATGTAAATAGGAAAAAATGCAATATCTCTTGATTATTTTGCACGCACAATGATTAAATCAGGGAAGATTGAAGATCACTAGGAAACAAAAAAACTATACATAAGTGGTGAATGGGATTAAAAAAGAATTATCCTAATTTAGCAAGCACAGCCAAAGATATGCTTCTTCTATATGGAGCTACTTATCTCTGTGAGGTATCATTTGTGGCTGTGATAGCCAGTAAAACCAAGTATAAGCATAAACTTGAACTTAGAACTAGACTTTGGAATCCCTGTATCACAAAGTATCAAACCACGATTCTAAAAATAATGAAGCATATTAAATAACTTTACTCCAACTAAATCTTGTTAGTATGATTAATCTTATCATTATTAATGAAACCATTTACAGAGAACAAAAAAGGTTTTATACAGTTAATAAATAAAATTATTTTATTTTATCTTTATCTCATCCTTTTTAATTACATGTATGCACATTTTATAATGTATGTAATAAATTGGTATTTTGCAAGTAAACATACACATATGGAATGTATGCGCAATAGCTTTTTACTGATAAAGTGGTGATCAAAAAAGTCTAGAGACCAGTAAAATAGCACACTGAGCTGAATCTAATAAGATGCAGGTTCAGTAAGTTGAAATGGAAAGTCTTACACTTGGGTACCAAGAAATCAACTTTACCAGCACAAGATGAGCAAAGCATAGCCAGAGAGCAGTTGATTTGAAAATGATCTGGGAGTTTTAGAGGACTGTTTACTCAATAAGTGAGTCAGGAATATGGTAGGGATGAAAAAAAAAGATAATGCAATCTGGGGCTGTGTGGAGGGGGCCACAACATCCAGGAATAGGGAGGTTATAGTCCCACTGTCCTCTGCCCTCATTAGATGTCATCTGGAGAATGGTGGTCAAATTTGGGTGCTACAGTTTAAGAAGGATATGATAATGTGGAGAGTGTCTGGAGGAGGGCAATCAGAATAGTAAAAGGCCATCCATGCCATTTGGGACCAATTAAAGGAATCGGGTATGTTTAGTCTGTCAAAAAGAGGACTCAGCAGGGACATGAAAGTAGGCTTCAACTATTGGAAGGGCTTTCATGTGGATGAGGGTTTAGACTTGTTCTCTTTGGCACCAGGGGGGAGAATCAGGAGCACTGGGGGGAGAAATTTCAGAGACAAAATTTAGACTTGGTGTAAAGAAAAAAAACAAACTTCTGAACAATCAGAGCTCTTCCAAAGTGTGATGGACTGCCTTTTGAGATAGTGAGTTCCATCTCCTTGGAGGCCTTCAAGCAGTAACTTGATGAAGACTTATTGGATGTTTTACAGCAGAGATTCCTTTTGCATATAGGTTTAGTCTAGAGTGCCACTTAAGTCCTTTTCAAGTCCCAAAGTCTGTGCTTATATGAGGAAAGTATAAAAAACAGTAGCTGATTACATCAAGATAATGACAATGTAGATACTATCTATTGAAACATCTTCTTTGCGGCCAAAGATGTACTTAGAGGCAAATCCATAATCCTGAATATCTATATCAATAAAGAAGAGATGGAAAATTTACAAATTGAGCCTGCACCTAAAAAAAAAAAACCTTACAAAAGAAACAAACAAAGCAACAGAAAATAGAAGAGAAATAACCAAGATTAGAGCAAAGATCAATACAACTGAAAATAAGAAAACAATTGAAATGATACAAAGACTAGCAGAATTGGTCAACAATTAGCAAGTGTAATAAAAAAAGGAAGAGAAGAAATCTAAATCATCAAAATTAGAAAAAGAGAAAGGAGAGATTACAACTAGGGCAAAAGAAGTCAATAAAATTATAAGTCATTACTGTACTTGGTTCCTATGATTATACCTGGAGATCCTAAAAGAAATGGATGATTATATACAAAAATACCAAATACTCAAATAAATGAAAAGAAAATTTCATAGGAGCATAAATTTAGGGCTTAGAGGCCATAGAGTTCAACCACCTCATTTCACAGATAAGGAAACTGACTTGCCCAGCATCACTCAGCCAAGTAGACAATCTCAGAAGGAGAAATCAGACATTCCATTAAAGAGGTGACCCACAAAAAGATGCCAGACACAGATACGTTGACAAGTAAATTCTACAGGACTTTAAAAGAACAAGTAACACAAGCAGTTATGGCTGTTTCAAAACACATAGAGAGATAATAGCTGACCCACCTCCTTCTAAGAGTCAATATAAGTATCAATTCACTGGCTGAATAAAGACAAAGATGGAAACTAAAACTATATTTCACCACCATTAATGAACATTACCAATCGAGGCTCAGCATTCTGATCGATCAGTAATCTCTTGGTTTCCTTGTTCCGTCCAACAATGAAAATCACAACCCATCCACACCTGCCCATCCTGTGTCACTCTTCTCTGTGTCCTCACATAAAAATGGCCACACACTGTCCACCCAATATAGCGGAGGCTTTGCTTTTTTTTTTTTTTAATTAACATGGTGAGGATAGAGTATGGACACAAAAATACTGAATAAAATAGCCACAAATAGAATTCAACAGTCCATCAAAAAATCCATCATCATCATCATCATCATCACCATCATCATCATCATTATGATCGTTTTAGCTAGCATTTCTATAGTACCTACTATGTGACTGGGACTGTGCTGAGTGCTTTATAAATATTATCTCATTTAATCCTCACTATAACCCTGCAAGCCAGGTGCTGTTATTATCATCATTTTACAGGTGAGGAAGCTGGAGCAAATAGAGATTAAGTGGCTTGCCCAAAGTCAGGAAGCTAGGAAGTATCTGAGGGGGGATTTGACCTCAGCTCTTCCTGACTCTAGGCTCTGGCTCTATCCACTGCGGTACCACCCAACTATCCCATCATGCCCCATTATGATCAACGAGGATTTAGAAAAGGGATGCAAGGGTTTTTTTTTATTACCCTCAAAACAATCAATATAGTAATTTTTAACAATGAAAAAATAAAAACTGTGATCATGCCTTTGATACGGTATGGCATTCTACTTGTTTTGGGACCCACAATTCTGCTTGTGATGGCAGGGGCTTTCCTGAGGCTTTTTATGTGCTCCTTACTGCCTTGAATAATCCTGTTTTGTTTAATGCCTTTGGCAGAGTGGATGATTAGAAGGGAGCTAAGAGAGAAATGTACAGAGCCTGATGTTACCTGGGGATTCCCCTTCATGAACTTTGAATTTTGGCCACAGTCAGCTACTTGGTATTATGTTTTCATGACATCCCATCTCGGGTGCCTCCATACCTTGGTACTGGCTGCCGTAGCTCCATGCCAGGGATGCTCTCCCTTCTCATTTCTGATTTCTGAAAACCTAGCTCACTTCTAGACTCACTTTGTGTCATCTCCCACATGAGAACTTTTTCTGATCCCCCCAATTGTTAGTGCTCCCCTGGAAATTATTATTATTATTATTTTTAGGTAATTGGGGTTAAGTGACTTGCCCAGGGTCACACAGCTAGTAAGTGTCAAGTGTTTGGTCTGAGGCCATATTTGAACTCGGGTTCTCCTGACTTCAGGGCTGGTGCTCTATCCACTGTGCCACTTAGCTGCCCCTGGAAATTATTTTCTACTGCATGTACTTCGCATTTATTTATCTGTGTATATGTTGTTTTACCTCAGATAGAATGTAAGTTCCTTGAAGGCAAGAACTGTTCACTTTTGTCATTATATCTCCAGCATAGGACATAGTAGGAACTTTAAAAGTCCCTGTTGAATTGCATTGGGAGAAGGCTGTGAAATAGAAATTATTCTTAGCCATCAAACCTGGTCTGTTGTGTCACTGGGCAGGATCTGACATACCAGTCATATAGAGATGAGGAATCTAATGGCTAGAGAGATTAAATGTCCTCTCCAAGGACCTGTGGTCTGTGCTTGGGCCAAGATCAGACCACAGGTGTCTTTACTCCCACTTCATTGCATTTGTTACTACATTGTACTCCCTACCCCTTGCAGCTCTCCCCTGCCTGCGAAGGCTTCTCTGGAAGGTGTTTCCCAAGTGGTAGTCATAGTTGGACTTTTTAGCAGCAAAGTCAAGAGCGTTGCCCTGAGTTTGGAATATTAGTCGGGGGGGGGGACCATGGCTGTTGTTTGGGAAGCAGGGGTTAGGCTCTAACCGTTAGGGTTAACCGTTAGGTTGCTCAGACATGTGAAGGGGAAGCTTATAGCTGTAGGACGGGAAGTGGATGGGCAGAACTCTACAGACAAATTGTGAAGGGGAAGCGTATAGCTGTAGCACAGGAAGTTGGTGGGCAGAACCTTCAGTCAGACAGGTTGTGAGGGGGAGAACTGTGGCTGGAGGACAGGAAGCAGGTGTTCAGAAATAGCTCTTTCTGCCCAAGGCTCTGCGCAAGGCCCGTCCACGTGAAGGGAAGGAGGGTCAGGTTGGCCGGGGCTCTTTCGGGTCTTGCAGGCGCTTTCCCCACGTTCTCGCCCTCCGCGCTAGGCGGAAGGTGAGGGATGGGCCTGGCAGCCTGGCTGCGCCTGGTCGGCATGCTGTGGCAGGTAGCAGCTGCCGTGGAAGGTAGGCCGGTCCTTGCCTCTGAGGCCGCAGCGCCCCGCGCCGCGCGCCAGGAGCTCTCGGGTCTCCATGGTGCTTTCTCTCTCCCTCTCTCTGTGTGTTTCTTTAGTGACGCCCTGGAGGAGAATCCGCGTCTGCGGCCGCGACGGCGGCCGCCGGCAGGGATTCACCGAGCAAAGGTCGCCTTGGCTTCCGGAGGCCAGAGGAGCCCCGGCCTTCTCCTGGGGGGCCGGCGGGGGACCTCGCCTCCAAGCGGAAGATGGCGTTTGGTTAGGTAAGTACAGCAGCCAAAGAGCCGGGCTTGGATGCCACGTTCGATAAATAGCAGGCACGTCTTCCATGAACCCTCCCCTCCCCCTCTGCAGCCACCCCTGCGGGCCATTTTCTGTTGGAACGGAGATGGGTGAACTGAGAAGTTAACACATCTTGTCAGTCAGAGTGTAGATTTGTTGTCAGGCTGACAGCCCCCCCCCCCCCCCCCAGCAGTGGTTTGGTTTTTTGTTTCTTTTGGGTGGGGGTGGGGGTGGGGGTGACACACCTGTGATGTAATTTATTTTTAACCCTCTCCCTGGGAGGGAACGCCTTCCTCTGATGAGCTCACACACCTGCAGCTTATAACTTTAGACAGTTGCCCAGGGACACTGAGGTGAAGGGGCTGGCGCAGTAGGGTGTTAGAGGTCATGGGACTGAATTCCCCCTTAGAACGGTAGCAGGAATTCGGTGAACACAGGCAGTGTGTGCAAACAGGATGGAGGGAAAGAAAGGCACAAGTTGCATTTATTTTCATAAATATGGATGGATGGACTCTGTGCCCTGAGCTGTGGTAAGCATCTTATAGATGGTAAGTATCTCCTTGGATTCTCACAGCAGTCCTGGCAGGTAGGTGCCATTAGGATCCTCATTTTAAAATGGAGGAAACCAGGGAAGGCAGAAGTTAAATGACTTGCCCAGCTAGTCAGTGTCTGAGACCAAATTGGAACTCAAGCCTTGCTGACTCCACACCCAGCACTTCATCTGCTGTTCCACCTAGCTGATTTTGGGCAAATCACTTTCCTCCTGAGGCCTCCATTTTCTCCTGAATGGGGAGTGAAGAGTTTCCCCAGTGTGCTTCTCTGGTCTCTTCCACTTCTAAATCTAGGAGCCTGTGAGTTAGTTCCCCATTGGTCTAAATGACTTTTAAAGCAACATCCAAAGGTGGCTGCTGACTTCTGTAGAAGTGATTTATGTTGTGGGATACTCAAATATCCAAATGAATCTGTTATCTCTTGCTTTGGGTTATTTCCTCTACTAATCCTGGTGGTGACCCATCCATGCCTACTTAGAGTGTGAGATTCATACCCTGGGATAAGAACTTGAAATCTAAGATCAGATTATGACACAGGATTACTTAGAAATTTACCTTATTCCCCCTTCCTGTTTTATTTCATTTTTCAAAAGATCAGCCAAGTATATTTTAAAAGAGAATTATAAACACTTTCAGAATATTTTTTTTTCAGTTTTGATTGACTGACTCTTATCCTCATGGTTGATGGAAAAAATTCTGTCTATCTTAAAGTGAACCTGAGAGCAAATATGAGGAAGGTGTTAGAGAAGGGAAAAGGCTCAGTTGTAAGAAAGAGCCTTTGGGGGGGTAATATGGCCCCTGAAACCAAGAGTAGCCATTTTCCCAGAGTCCTTTATTCTGGGAGAGCCAGAGATTACTGTTCTTACTCCCTGGTAAAGGCTTCTGAACAAGACTTAGTCACATAATGTACTTAGCAGCTCTTTCCAATTACAGTCTATTAGGGAGTTGCAAATTACAAGTACTCATCTCTCTATGGTTCTTAGAAATCTATAAGGCTTTCTGCTTTGTTTGCTAAGGAGAAAAATGAATAGGATAGAGTTAGCAATATGAGGAATATTTTCTGAAGAAAGAAGAACTTTTTTAAAAGTTGGAGAACAAAATCTTCAATCTAAGTACCACTGATCCTTTTGATCTAAGGTGGAGATTGTTCTTTTATATGTTGGCTCCTATAATTAATTCATACTCACTGCTATGGTTGTGTGAATAGAAAAGCCAGGCTTTAGTTCACTTATTGAACATGTGACAGCTTCATTGTCGTTAGATTTTGGGAGTGGGAGGACATACTTGTGATATTCCAAACCCACTAGCAGAGTACTTAATAATAAAACTTTGCTTTAGAGAACCATCCATATATCATCCTCTCTCTAATTCTACCTCCTTCCCTCCCTGCAAGGGGAAAAAAAAAAAAGGAAAGATTTTTATCATAACCTGTGACTGAGAGCTCTCATCAGTATCTGCCACCCGGGTAGCGCATTATGTCTTCAGACACAATAGAGCACTGAATGGAGAAATCTAACAAATATAGCATGCATGATTCTCCTTAAAGATTCCCTTGGTCTTGTCTACTTTAGCTAAAGCAGTTGCTTTCCTTAAGCAATTAAAGAAAAAGAGCTGTGGTTCAACTTGTATATTCAGTGACATATGAATTACTTGGCATAAGCTCTAATTTTAATATTATTTCATTGGGTGGTAACAGCAGTCATTATGTATGTGCTTCTCTTGCTACTAAGGTGGCCTGGCATTCCAGACCTTGACCAGATGGGCTGTTCTCCTTACTGCTGAATTTTATACCATACACTTGTGTTTCCTTGATTTCTTCTGTCGTGTTTTTAATTTTGTTATTTTTAAGAACAGATATTGGGGCAGTTAGGTGGTGCAGTGAATAGAGCACTGGCCCTGGAGTCAGGAGGACCTGAGTTCAAATCTGGTCTCAGACACTTGACACTAGCAGTGTGACCCTGGACAAGTAACTTAACCTGGACAAGTCATTGCCTAGGGCCCCCTTCCCCCCAAAAAAATAACATGTTACTTCTTGGAAAATTGCTAAAAGTATAGCTCTTAAAGCATGCTTTAGTTACTATTAGAGATGGTGCAGAAGATGTTCATGTAGGGAAGTTAAGTGTGTCAAGGATCCTTAAAGCTGATGATAAAACAGGATCAGTTAAAAAGCCTTCAGAAGTACCTGGAAGCCTGGGGGCTTGTTACTGATTCCTCAGTTGTAGGCTTCTTGAATTTGGAAGAGCAGAAAGAAGACCAGTAAAGAAATAAATATTTGTATTGTGCTGCCTATGACAAGCATTTTAACTTCACAACAGCAATAGGATTGGGGGGAAAAAAGTAACCTTTTTACTGTAGAAACTCACTTTTTCATTCAAAGTATTACCAAAACTGCTAGCAGAAGTCCAAATGAGCCTGTAAGACCTGGCTTACAGATATCTGCATCAGACTATAAAACATTTACACTCCAAAAAACTGGAAGGGAGGGGCTTTTTAATGCTTCTATTGGGCTTCTGAAATCATACTTCCATTGAGGAAATGATGGACTCTAGTAAATATACAATTATGTGAGAAGAAGAATTATTGCAGAAATTCCAAAAAGGAAATAGAAATTGAATACCTTGACGAGACTTTGCATTGTGGCCCACATCACAAGGGGTTAAGACATTAAAGTGATGGAGATAAACATGCTTTAATGGTCTGGACACTGACCTACTTTAAGCCCCATTGAAAACCTATGGATGGTAGTAAAGACTGAAACAGGAAAATGGAACTGCTTGTCAAAGGTCTGCATACTCTCTCCACTGTGATGTGTGATTGCATAATGAACTAAAAATATGTAGCCAAAACTTGTGAACTCAGTGCCAAATGATGCAAGATACGAGGACATATGAGAGATTAAAACCGTTTTGAAGATGTACGAAGTTGTACATTTTATTGTGTAAACCAATACATTTAATTATTTTACTTTGTCTCAGTTAATTGCACCCTGTTGTGTTTACAGGAAGAGGAATGTATACAGTAGCTCCATTTTTTCCTTTTTTAATGGAAATGTCTCCATTTAATTTTATATAGGTCGTTGTACCCTATGGATGTAATGTACTCCTCCTTCACCTCTCTGCCTCTTGGAATCCCTTGCTTTCTTTTAAGACTTGGCCCATGTGCCACCTCCTTTGTTAACTCTTTCCTAATCCCCTTAGTTGTTAGGGCTCTCGTTCTTGCTCAATCCTTTCAGTTGTATCTGACTATTTGTGAACCTCATTTGGGGTTTTCCTGGCAAAGAGACTGGAATGGTTTGCTATTTTCTTCTCTAGCTCATTTTACAGATGAGGACCCCGAGGGTTAAGATAAGACCTTGTACCCATAAGTGTCTGAGGCTGGATTTAAACTCGGGTCTTCCTGACTCCAGGCACTTCACTCTGTCCACTGTGCCACCTTGCTGCCTGTGGGCCTTAACGTTCCTCACCTTATGTTCTTAGGCATTGATATGTTTCATTCCTTCCATGGAAACTAAGCTTCAGCAATGAAACCTTGTGTCCTTAACACCCCGAACAGTCCATTGCATATAGTCGGGCTCTTGATAAATGCCTTTGGGGTTGGATCTGATTGGATTGAATTGGATTTGAAGAGTCAAATTGTTCTCTGATTGATTGTTATTCATTTGCCGTCTGGCTTGGGGGGGGGTGTTTTCAAACTAGTTAACAGGAAAATCTAACCCATGTCTTTTCTGTTTCCATACTAACAACTACTGCGAGGGTTATCTGACACTTTGCTGCTTCAGTAAAAATGAATTACTTACTGTATATTGCACAGTGTTGTTTTCCTTGAATGCCCATGATGCTGTTTGGATGATTTGGGGGGATTGTTGGGTATTTGCATAATATGGACTCTGCAAAAACATCCCCGTGATAATATTTCTTTTGCGTGTGTCAGTGATTTCTGTGGCTGCAGTTTCCCCAAAAGAACTCTTTTCTGGTCTCCTGGGTCGCTTTCCTCTTGCTGTGCTTACTGTGCAGGAGCCTCTACCTTCTTGGGGCCTGTGTGTAAGCTAATTTTGAAGTATGGTACCTTACTTCAAGGCAGTTGGGGGAAAATTGTCATGTAAATTTTTCCCTTTAAAAGGGAGTGGGTTCTTCAGTATTTTAAGAAAAAATAAAAGATTTTAATTATCCCTGAGAAATAATAAGGATTACCTTTTCTTCCATTGAATATTCTTTGCTCTCTGCTACCAGTGATACAGGAGAACCTGCTAGGTTATAGTAGCAGGTTAGAGCATTACAAAGCCAAACCAATGTTGTCTTCCATTAAAAAGTCTTCCCTAAAAATACTATTTTAAGGCAAAAAGGTGGAATTTCCTTGTGTCTCATTTGCAGTGCATGGTTTTTAGAGAGTTGCCTCAGGCTTATAGAGATTAAGTGACTCAGCCATGGCCATAGAGCTAATAAGGTAGAGGTAAGACTTGATCTCAGGTTATTCTTACTCCCACTCCAGTGTTCTGGCCACTGTGCCAAGCTGCCATTTTGGATGCTTTAATAAAGATTCAGAATAAGACTCTTAGCCCTGGTACTCTGTATTGATATTGACAAAAAGGAAGTGAAGTCAGTTGAGAAAGCAAATTAGCACAGTGACTTAATGAGACTATTCTGCTCGCCATTATTTGCAGGAGAAGTCTCATTTTGTGCCAGTTAGACCTGATCTTCAGTGGTCCTTTGAACTGCTACCCAAGAAGTCTCGGGCACACATGAAATAACTAGAAACTTTTTGAGTATGGGGACCTTTTTTGCCAAAGAAAAATTTTGGAATTTCTCCCATTCCCTCCCTCCCCCTTCTTGTGGTTATGTTACGAATGTCTATTGATTGAGAAAATATACTACAAAAAAACCCTAGTATGAATTCAGTAATGTTTTCTAAATGAATTTGAATTATATTAATCATAACAGCATCTACATGTTAGGAAAGAAGTAATATACATGTGTGAGACATTCTTTAGTTTACAGAAGGCATAGCTACTTATTATTTATCATACTGAGTCTCACTGCATATTTTGTTGGAGCTAATAAGAGATCTAAGTGCCAATGTTTGCTGCACGAATGGATTCATGGACCCTTTGCAGTAACACACTGTTCTCTCTACCCCCAAGGTCAGGAACCATTGGGCCCCTCCCTTCCATGGACATCCTGCAAGTGTTGTGAATTCATTTGGCTTTCTGCTCAGGCTGCCTAGAAGAAGAACTGAATCAGGATCCCAAGTAATGTAACTGAGGACTGCTTGGCAAGCATCCCAAGAGGTGAATGTCACACCGGGTTCATGTAACTATAGCTCTTTCATAATTGTCCTATCATTTCAAAGGAGATTAGCACATCCTCCTGGAGCTGATGTCGCATTGTGCTTAGCTCACCAATATGCTGAAAGGACCACATTCTTGTTGGGATTGGGCCACCAGAACAAAAGAATTCTTCACCTCAGTGTACATTCCCACTTGTCTTGCACTTAAGGATTGACGAAGGACTTTACCACAATCAGCCCTCCCAGGTGCTAGTGCTTTCCTCTTCAAGATTATCTTCTATTTACACTTTTTATATTTGTATATCTTGCATGTACCTAATTATTTCCCCATGAGGATATGAGTTCCTTGGGGGCAGGGACTGGAGCATTTACCTTTTTTTGTGTCCCTTGTGCTTAGCATGGTGCATGCCAAGTAGTATATGCTTAATCAGTGCTTCTTGACTTGAGGTAGATGAGGTAAGTGGTATTGTATCTACTGTACAGATGAAGAAACTGAGGCTTAGAAGAGCTAAATAACTTTTTCAATGTCACCCAATTCCAGGACTTCCCCCCCCTCCCCCTGCAGGTAAAGCTGTTTAGGCTGGAATGGTTGAAAGACAAGTTAGCATTTTTGGATTTTAACAAATAAAGCTGTTATCTATAGTCTATTTTAGAGATACTGAAGAGAAATTGCTAGTGAGTTGACTGGTGGTAGAGGGAGGGAGAGAGAAGGGGGTGATGATCTTACTAATGAGTACAGGGACTCCCTCCAGTAGGTACTGACTGTGCAGTGGGGTACGATGGAAAAAAAAATACGAGTCCATAAGCTAGCCAGGTTGATTCAGCAAGCATTGATCAAGCATCCTTCTGCGAGGTGCTGAGGAGAGAAAGGCAAGAGAACTATTCCCTGACTTCACTGAGCTTAGATTCTGGGAGCAACAGGTACACAAATAATTAAATGTAAACAGAGAAGCAGAGGCAGCAAAGGGGCCCCACAATGAGTAAAGCAGAGGGCCTGGGGTCAGGAAGATCTGAGTGTGCCCCAGCCACTTTTACTCTCTGTATGACCTGGACAAGTCACTTAACCTCTACTGCCTTAGTTTCCTCATCTGTAAGATGGTCATAATAGCACCTGCCTCCCAGGGTTGTTGTGAGGATCAAATGAAATAATGTTTGTAAAAGATTTAGCCCCATGCCTTGCACATAGTAAGTGTTATATAAATGCTAGGGATGATGATGATGATGATAATAATGATGATAATATTGTTGCATGGGGTAAGCGGTTTAATTGGATTCCATCCCATAAAACATGGTTGGGGAAAGGAGGGGGAGGATGAATTTTTTTCCTGACCACCTCTAGAGAGACATGGCTCCTATGCAGTGCAGGTTTTCCCCTCTTCCCCTTTGTAAAGTAATTGTTGTAATTGCCAGAACACATACTGCATGCTAGTCCAGCTGTTGCCTAGTTTTATGTTTCATGCAGACGTGCTTTGTATATACAGTGAAATGAAGAGGTCTGCTACTGACAGGCAGATATTATTATTTTTATTTTTGGCATTTTCAAAACTGTTAGGAGGACTTGATTTTAGTCAGGTCAGCTTGCACTGGAGGAGAGATTCCTAAAGACTGCATTGTGAGGTAACCTAGAAAAATGTTAGTTGGGTGCAAACTATTTCAAAGACTGAAAATGAGACATTATATACTGTATATTAAGTTCTTTATGCCATTTCTTGTGGAAATTTTGTAATAAGTACATGTTAAATATCTTTGTGTAAAAATTATGGACAGCGGATCATGGGGAACTACATTTAATTCCAATAATGCCTCAAAATTGCCAGAAATGAAACTTAACAATTCCTTTCATAAGGATGCCATATGCAGCCAGAAATGCTAGGTCAGTACTCTGATAGCCCGAGAATATGCTTTGTATCATTCATCTCAATTAAATAACAGATGAATGGGTCAAAATGGAGGTCTTTTGAATGCAGGCTGCATACACGTGCACGTGCACGCGCACGCACGCTCGCACACACACACTCACGTGCACGTATGTACATTTGTGTGTATGTATATATTATATATATATTCAGTGAAAAGTTATATGGAACTCTATATGCTTGTTATACTTGAAGATAAAAGATACCGTGTAAATAAGGAACATCATCATCCATTCCAGACCTTTGGTAATTTACTTTCATCATACGATCTTCTCTAGGCCTTCATCACATAAACATAGCCTTGCCCACAAAAACTTTAACATAGAAATTCAGTTCATAACTGGTAAAAATTGTACTTCCCTTTTAAGTCCTTTTATTTAAAAAAAATCCAATTGTGAAGAAAGTTAGGAATTACAGTTTCTTCTGGAATGAAGTTGCCTAGTATCTTTGCCATATATGGAAAATTGTAGCTTTGTGATGTTGGAAAGGTACCGTAACCTTTCTGGGTTTCAGTGTCCTCTGTGGTCCCTTCCACGTCTAGACCTAAGAGCCTGTGTGCGACTGTGGACTAGGCACTTCATCTCTCTGGGTCTCAGTTTCCTCCTCTGCAAAATGAGGAGCAGGACTAGATTACTTCTAAATCTCTTCCAACTTTAGATCTAGTATCCTGTGAACTAGGGATTGTGCCTAGGACAAATTAGGCCAAGTGAATCATTGTGGCAGAGCACTGAATAATGCTGGAGCCTGTGCCCTTTAGGATTCAACCACAGAGTGGGGGCCCACCAGCAAGACCCTGAGAGGGATGGAGGATCGTGGGGGTTGTGGCGGTGATGTATCGGCCCTTCCCTCTGCACAGCGGTTGAGAGCTAGGTCCCACTCTACTTATGTCGCTGTTGTTCAGTGATTTCAGTTGTGTTCAACTCTTCATGACCCTATTTGGTGCTTTCTTAGCAGAGATACAGGAGTGCTTTGCCATTTCCTTTTCCAACTCATTTTACAGATGAGGAGACTGAGGCAAACAGGGTGAAGTGACTTGCCCAGCGTCACACAACTAGTGAGTGTCTGAGACCAGATTTGAATTCAGGAAGATGAGTCTTCCTGACTCCAGGCCCAGCACTCTGTGCTCTGCAGCACTTTGTAGCTGCACTTCACTCTAGTTAAATCTAGGATTAGAGACCTGTTAAAAGGGGATATCATGTGACCATATCCGACCTCCCAACCCCATTTCCACCTCTGCAACTCTGTCAAAGAAATTCAGTTTTTTTCCCGACTCTCCTAGTGAAGTGTCACAATTGCAGCACCTTTGTAGCACTGATACCTTTGAAGTTGACACCTGATTGGGACTAATGTCCCATGAGTTAGTTCCTGCTTGTATCTCTGTTTGCCCACCCACAGTTTATTTATGTCCAGAATGGTCAGAGACCAGAAGCAAATTTTTGCTTTTCCCCTCTCCTGGGTATATTCCTCTGCCCTTCCCAGCCCACTCCAGATCCTGTGTTTTACAAAGCCAGGGCAGGCACCCTTCCAAATTAAGAGATTCTGAGAGCTAGACAAGGCAGCAGAGGTCATTCACATCCATATGTTAGGGCTCTCTAGTATTAGCCTTTGGAAATCTTTAGCTCCAATTGTGACTTTTATAGAACTCTGCTTACCTTGTCTCTTTTCAAATTCTTACAGACTTCCTAAAGTAGGTATTGCAAAAATGATTATCTTTATTTTACAAGCGAACATACCGGGCTCAAACAGATTCTGTGACTTTCCTATAGCCACACAACTATTCAATGTTAGACATATTTTAATCCAAGTCTTTCTGACTCTAACACTTCACTACTTCAGAAATGGTTTTTTTTTAATTAAAAGAATGTTTTATGATATATAGATATTTTTAAGGGCAAGAATATCTTCTCTTTAACACTTTGGGTAAACCTACTTTTAGAAAGTGCCTAAGTGATCTGGATGAGAGACAGCAGTAGGGTGTATCAGCAGTGACCTCTTCCCTTCCTCAGCCTAACCCTAAGCCCACATCTTACATCCCTCTGCCCAAAGGCTGACGTGCAAGCAGTGACTCACCTGCCATTTTCCCACTGTCCTTAAAGCTGGGCCTAGCTCTTGCCCCAATGCTTGTTTTTTTGTTTGTTTTTTATTTTTTTCAAACTGGGTGGTCTTTTTTGGGAAAAGGCCGAGGAGGAGCTAGGGACGGGAAATAAATATGTGTGTATGTATCAGTGTGCATCCAAACAGAATGCTGCTGGCATGTATTTTAAAATTACTTTTTTTTGTGCCACAGGGGTACTCTCTTTTGGCTGTGTTATTTTGTGAGGATTATTCTTTAATTCCTTATACCCACTTTATTTTTTTTCTTTTTTTTTAAATTTATTTTTATTTTTCAACATTCACTTCCACAAGATTTTTGAGTTCCAAATTTTCTCCCCATCTCATCCCTTCCCTTACCCAGTGCTTGTTTTTAGTATTACTTTGAAAACTGCTCTCTTGAATTTGATATATGTAAAGAGGCAGTTCGGCATGGTGGAGAGAGTATGTATAACTCCTTCACTTCTGACTCCTGTTTCTTCAGGCCACTGTTTTGAGAAATGTTTGTCTACTGGTAGAAAAGGACATCTGGCTGGTCAAGTGGTAGCTCTAGGACTTGAACTCAGGAGTTATATGCTTAGAGATCATCAGAGCATTTGCTCCGTTTTACAGAGGAGGAAACCAAGGCTCAGAGAGATCGAGTGATTTGCCCAAGGACACACAGTTTGGTTAAGTAGCAGGACTAGGACTTGAACTCAGATCACTACTCTCATCTCCTTCCCCTCTCCCAGCTTACCTGCCTTCTCTTATTTGCTTGGGCTCCACCTTCTCCCACTCACCTATGTAGAATCCTGGGCTTTGGGCCTCATTCTTCTGTGTTTATGTTAGAAATAGTCATTTTCTTTATAATATTAAAAAAGCCTTGGTAAAATGGGGATAATAATGCACACGCTTGCCTGCCTCTGAGGTCTACACGGGAGGATAACTTCTCGGGAGAATTTTCTTTAAAAAAATCTCGGAGGACAAAAGTAGGAAATGAATTCTTAGGAGCTCA